TTTTTTTTTTTTTTTTTTTTTTTCCTTGGAAAAAAAAAAGCAAGTATTGTACCCAGCCTTATTATATCTTACAAGGTTCCAGATGAGGATAATATTATTCCAAACATGATTCCTTCCTAGTTCAGTCCTGTTGTTTCTGAGAAAGGCTATTTGTAAGCTAGACTCTGGTCAAAGTAACATTTCCTCCCAGAGCTATGAAACACTTTGTGTTTACCTTCTTCACACAAACCAGGGCTTTGAACTGTTTCTACTCGGTTCAGTCATGGCTGATGAAGTGAAGCCCGAGTGGTCTCTAATTTGTAAACTGTAGGTGAACACAATGATAACTGAAATGAGAAAAATTACGGTTGACAGCCTGCTAGAAACTTAATCTCCCTCTTAGAAAACAAGGGCATTGCACATTGCATAACAACCAAATCTCTTGACTGGCAGAGGAGGAGATAGCAGTGCCCCACTCAAAGACCAAATTGCTTTGAATATGTGTCATTCTCCACTGCCCTGTCAATCATCTGGTCTCCTGCATTAGGCTCTTAAAAGGGCTCCCTGTGTGTCTTCTGAGTTTTCCATTCCAGGGCTTCAACATGTAATTTTTCCTGTTCCAGTTAATATTCTGCTTCATGCAAATTTTAAAAATTTGAGTCTGTCCCGATTTTGCTGCATTGGCCATAACTGAACGGTCTGCACCAGTTTGAAGCTCTGCACGAAACTCCAGGTACATTTGAGGGTGTTGATGCTTCACACTCATTTAACTCAATGCTACTTTATTAAGGACAGCAAAAGCAAAATGAATTTGTTAATCTATGTGGTTTATATGACTAATATGCTACCTTATTTAAAGGTAGGAAATTGTTACCTTAATTGATCACTTAATTAAAATGAAAGAATGTTAAACATTTTCTAAGTTAGAAATTAGGTTAACACGTGTTTGTTTGATCATTGAGTGTGAAATACCAGTTTAAGTCTTAGGTTAAAAAACTAGTACATATATATATTTGGGAATATGTCAAAGAATTTGATTTCTCAAATTTTTCCCCTAAATGCAGAGAGAGGTGAATACATCTTCTAAGTTAATTATGGCTGCCAGTTTTAGCTCTCAGAAATGAGATCCATTCCCAGTATACATGAATCACATATGAATGTGTCAAGATAGTTTTTAGAAAGTGTTTAAATTGTTTGCTTGGCAGCCTTTCCTATGTATGATAAAATGTTTTTTGTTTGCTTCTGGAGTTGGTGGCGGTTTCAGTAATGCTGTATATTGACCACATTTAGGGAAAAAATGGAAACTGAGTGTAATAGAAGAACCTCTCAGATAGAAGCCCAATTTCGGGCTGATTGCCAGAAAGCCACTGAGAGATATGAAGATGCACTGCAAAGCCTGGAGGGGCACTACCGCCAAGAGCTGAAGGATCTCCTAGAACAGCAACGTGAGGAGAAATCCCAGTGGCAGTTTGAAAAGGATGAGCTCACCCAAGAGTGTGCAGAAGCCCAGGAGCAGCTCAAAGAGACTATTCAAAGAGAGAAAGCAACTTCTCTGGCCTTGACCCAAGAGAGAGAGATGCTAGAGAAAACATACAGAGAACATTTGAACGGTATGGTTGTTGAGAAAGAGCAGCTGCTCAAAGACCTGGAGGATCTAAAATATGTGTCTGAAAATAAGCAAAGGCTACTGTCCAACCAAATACTTGAACTGAAGAGCAGTCATGAAAAAGAGCTGAAGGACCATCAGTGGGTCCTGTGCCAGGCAGGGGCCTCAGAGCAGCTGGCCAGCCAGCAGCTTGAGAAAGTAGACATGGAACATGAGCAGGGGAGGCAGGAAATGATGTCCAAGCTTCTGGCCATGGAAAGCATCCACAAAGTAACTTGTGAGAAAGCAGATCGAGAGAGGGATGAGATGAGCGCAGAAATCTCCAGGCTTCAGAATAAATTAAAGGAAATGCAGCAGGCAGCATCTCTGCTCTCTAGACTTGAGAGTGGCTGCCAGGCAGTGGGAGTGGGGGAGGCAGAAGGAAATGGTGCCATGTCCCTGCTGCAGCAAGGGGAGCAGCTGTTGGAAGAAAATGGAGATGTCCTCTTAAGCCTGCAGAGAGCTCATGAACAGGCGGTGAAAGAAAATGTGAAAATGGCTACTGAAATTTCTAGGTTGCAGCAAAGGCTGCAAAAATTAGAGCCAGAATCAGTAATGTCTTCTTGTTTAGATGAACCAAGTACTGAATTTTTGGGAAATTCTCTGGAACAAACAGAGCCGTTTTTATTGCAAGACAGAATAAAGAAAGTAGAAGGTGTAACCAAGAGGCATATCCTAAGTGACTTGCAAGACGATGAGACCAGAGATCTGGGAAGTACAGACACCAGCTCTGTTCAAAGGCAGGAGGCCAAAATAGAGTCTGAAGCATCAATAGAGAGTTTTTCTGAGCTTGAAAATAGTGAAGAGACCAGAGCTGAGACCTGGGACCTGAGGATTCAAATTAGTCAGCTTCGCGAACAACTAACACTCTTACGTGCTGACTGCAACCGAGCTTCTGAAAAGAAACAGGACCTTCTTTTTGATGTTTCAGTGCTCAAAAAGAAACTAAAGATGCTTGAGAGAATCCCTGAGGCATCTCCCAAGTACAAGTTGTTATTTGAAGATGCTAGTAGAGAAAATGACTGTCTTCAAGAAGAGCTGAGAGTGATGGAGACTCACTATGATGAAGCACTGGAAAATAACAAAGAACTTGCTTCAGAGGTGTTCAGATTGCAAGAAGAGCTCAAGAAAGTTGAAGAAGTGACTGAGACATTACATAGCCTAGAAAAGAGTTATGATGAAGTCAAAGGAGAAAATGAGGAGCTGCATGTTCTGGTTTTGAGACTTCAAGGAAAAATTGAGAAGCTGCAGGGACAATCAGTGCTACAATGTGACTGCTTCTCATTATGGGAAGCCCATTTAGATAACCTGCAAGTTGAACCTGATGAGAAGGTACTTGAACTAAATCAGACACTGGAAGAGTGTGCACCAGCATATACAAATGTACACCATGTTATAGAAGAACATAAACAAGAAAACCGATGCCTTGAGCAGGAGAATACACGACTCCTAGAAAAAGTAAAAGCCCGTGAAGTTGCTTGGTTACAAGGAACAATTCAGGCACATCAAGAAAAGCCAAGAATGCAGAACCAGGTCACACTGGAAGAAAATACTTCCCTTCTAGACCTTCAAGACAAACACTTTCAGCGTCAAGCCACAATAGCAGAGTTAGAGCTAGAGAAAATAAAACTACAAGAACTGACTAGAAAGTTGAGGGAAAAAGTCACTACTTTAGTTAAACAAAAAGATATACCTTCACAAAGAGAAAAGGAGGAAGAGCTGAAGTCAATGATGCATGACTTGCAAAGCACATGCAGTGAAATGCAGCAGAAAGTTGAACTTCTGAGGTAATGTATGTACCTTCTAAGCTTCATGGGATCCCACAGAACACTTCACCCAATCTAACTTCTGCTGCTTGCTGAGCCTAGAGAAACTAACCTGTTAGTCTTGGAGAGGAAAGCAGCCTTATAGACTTCCTTCTGCTTCTGTGTCGTATTAACAAGTAGAATAACCTTGCCTAGGAGGCATTCCCTTCCTCTGTAGGAAATCAATGTTGTTCTTATGGGATGTGAAAGTTCATAATAGTGAGTGTTTGCTATTTAACCATATGCATCATCAATGCATGTCAAGTCTTTTAACTCTTGTCTAGCACTTGCTTCATTTGGATGAATAGCTTTTTTTCTTTTAGCTAGACGTTAGTTGTATGAGAATGATGAATACCTTTTGTGTGTTATTAACTAAGTTGGTAGGTAAGAACTCTTCTTACACTAATACAGGAAAAATTTTGTGTTTGGTGGCTTATAATTTTTTTTTTTTTTTTTTTTTTTTTTTATTAGGATTTGGGTGAAGATTTACTTACATCACTTGAAGTACATGCTAATCCTGCAAACAATGGACATTTATCTTAGAATATATAATTTTATTGAGGAGCTACCAGATTCTAGGAGCTCTGGTAGCATAGTGCCAAGGCACTTGACTGCTAACCAGGAGGCTGGCGGTTCAAACCCACCAGCCACTCCTCGGAAGGAAGATGGAGCAATCTACTTCCGTAGGGAAACTGCCTCGGAAACCCAAGGAGGGGTCGCTAGGAGTCGGGGCCAACTTGATGGCAAGTAACAACAACAACACCAGATTCTAATAAATATGTTTGAAGAATAAATATAAAATAGTTTGAACGATTTGACTTTATAAAATGTGATTACATTAGTCTTCTAGGAAGTTTCATTTTTAAATAACTTGTAAAGTATTACGTCATGTCTGAAATGTCTTAGTGATACAAAACAAAATAATTCTAAACGTCATTTTTCCTCCTCATGCTTCACACTATGTTTAGCTCTAAAAATCAAAATATAATGAGATGAAAAAATTACTAGGTAATCAGTGTACATATTTTAATGTGACCTTTGAAATGTCTTTTTCTAGGTATTCTTTGGGTCTAAAAGCCAATCCATCTTTGTAATGTGCAGTAATAAGGTATATGTAGATTCACAGTAGGTAGGACTTGAGACCAAGATAGATGAAATCATTTGATCAAAAACAAATGCTTGCCATTGAGAAAATCACCAACCAGAGTGGGCACTCCTGTCTTGATGTACAAGTTTCTTAGCTACATTTTCCTAACATCTTTTAGTAAAATTCTTATTTCCCAAATGAAATGAGTCAATATGTCATAGCCTGATTTCCAACTACTAAGAGACAACTGATTTAGACTTTTCTTTTTAACTGGCTTGGCATTCTTGTTTTATTGGAAGTCACTAGAAAGTAGTTTCCAAAGATGCCAGATGATTATCTTGTTGACTCTTTTTTTTAATCTCCATACTTCAGATATGAATCTGAGAAACTTCATGAGGAAAATTCTATTTTGAGAAATGAAATTACTAGTTTAAATGAAGAAGATAGCGTTTCTAACCTGAAATTAGGAAAATTAAATGGATCTCAGGAAGAAGTGTGGTAAGACATACTTAAAAATTTTTAAGAGTTTTTTTTGCAAGAACTAAAACTGCTTTACTTCAACTTTTAAAACCTAACTCTTAAGTCATATGTTCATTGTCCCTTTAGGAAAAAAATAGAAACTGTGAAAAAGGAAAAAGATGCAGTTCAGAAGATGGTAGAAAATTTAAAGAAACAGGTAAGGAGATATTTAATATTTCCCATAGTTTCTGGATTCTAAAGTTTACTTTTTATTTGAAATTTACAAATTTACAGAACATACTACTAGGATAACATAGGACATCATGGTAAGATTGTAGATCTTGAGTATGAAAATAGAGATTCAACTCGTGCTGACTCTAAACTAGGTTTCTATTTTTTGTTAAATTATGTATATATTATTTCTAACCGCTGAGTGCTTAATACATGTTTTAAAACTAAACTGGAGGGCAGGGGTAAGACCATACCTATAAAGTATTAGCTCTGTCCCTCATCTCTCTGTTCCTTTGGTGGAAGAGTAGAAAGATCACGGTCTTAGAAGAATGATGTCTGAAGAGCCAGTCTCACTGCTTGACTGAGAGTCACCATTCAATAAATGTTCCCCTTTCCTCAACATGACTGAAAGCAGAAAATTAAATAAGGACAGAATTCCACAGATAGAGAATTCTAGTTAATCAATATATTAGTTCACAGAATTATGATTTATTCAAGCGGCTTGTACCATTCAATACCCAATTTGTATAATCTCACAACATGTGATTGTGCAAGGAAAGGCTATTTAAGAATCGGTCTGAAATACTCAAAGAACAAGGATATATGGGGAAAAAGAATTTTCATTACTTGATGTGGATAGTATATTAAGATCCAAAATATATTTTGTGCTCTTATAAGTAAATGGGAAGGCCAATTGAAAAACAGGCAATCAACATGAATAGTATAGTCAGAAAAAAAAGGAATACAACATATAAAAACATCAAGAGCCTCATTAGTGATTGAGGAAGTGCAAATTAAATGAGTTTCCATTTTTCACCTATCAGATTGGCAAAGAAATAAAGATTGGTATCATCTAGGATTAGCAAGGGTATGTGGGGAGAGTACTTTTATACACGCCTGGTAGGATTATAAATTGATACCACTTGTGGAAAAGACATTTTAGCAATATCTACCAAAATTGTGATATACCTTCTAACCCAGCAATCCCACATCTGAGAAATGATCCTAAAATCAAAATGCTACATAACAACAACAACCATGTGCAGAGGTATTTTCCAAATTATTGTTTAGCTTATTTATAATTAAAAAGTAACAAACCTATATGTAAGCCAATGTAGGAATGGATGAATGCATTGTAGAATATCTTGGTACAGTGAAATACTGTATAACTGTTAAAAATAAATCATGTAGTGGTTTCTGAATGTGCTGACTTGGAAAGAAAAGAGTCTAATAGGCATTATAGTAGATAAAGCAAGCTGCCCAGACATGAAATGATCTAAATTTTTGATAAAGAAAAAAGAATATGTATGTGATAGGAGTTTTTATATTTGCAGAGAAAACTATCTGGAGGGACAAATGTCCAGCTGTGAACAGTGGATCCCTCTGTGGGGTGGAATTGAACTGTTAATATTTCTTCATACACTTCCAAAGTGATTGAATTTGTAATAATGAGCACGTACTATTTCTGTTATTAAAACTATCTACACAGAGGGAAAAAACAATTTGTCTATAAATTTGTGTTTTAGCAGAAGTGTGGTAACTAATTTTAAAACTATTTCAATTTTACTTAGATTTCAGAATTAAAAGCCAAAAACAAACAGTTGGATTTGGAAAATATAGAACTTAGCCAAAAGAACTCTCAAAATCAGGAAGAACTGGAAAAACTTAATCAACGTCTGGCAGAAGTGCTACCCCAGAAAGAAAGAGAACCAGGGCACTGTACATTCAAGGAACAGGAACAAGAAAGGTGTAATCTGAAAGAAGAACTGGAACGTTGCAAAGAGCAGGTATGTTCTATAGCCACCCCGTAGTTTTCTTGAGGAAATCTTAACGTATAGAAGAAATGCTTGTATTAATATATTATACACAAAGCCTCAATAATTTAAACAGTGTGATAGTGGCATATGGATGAACAAATAAATCAGTGGGAGAGAAATTCTAGAATTAGGCCCAAATGTAAATGGAAACTTAGTAAAACAAAGATAGACTCTCAGATCACTGAGGTATAGATAGACTTTTTAAATAAATGGTACTAGGACACCTGAATGATCATTTTAAAAGAGATGAAATTGGGTCTATACCTTATACCATACATAAGAAGAAATTCCAAATGAATTAAGAATCTAAGTATAAAGAATAAAACAGTACAAGTGCTAGAAGAAAACACTGGTGAATCCCCCTACAATCTTAGTATAGACAGAAGCTTGCTAACTGATTGAGAAACCAGAGGCAACAAAAGACTGATAATTTTACTATAGAAACATTGCGACACATTTTGCATGATGAAAAAGATAATTAACAATATCAAAAGACAACTAACAGAAAATATTTGTAACATATACCACAAACAAATAGCTAATATCCCTGTTACGTGAAGAACTCTTAAAAATTGAGGGACAGGAGATCAATTCCAAGATGGCAGGCTAGGCAGAAAGTCTGCACAGACCCTCTTCAACAAAGAAAAGGGGAACCACTACCCAGAGCAACCGAATAGTTGATCCTGTGGGCTTGGAACCATAGTCACAGGGGACATCAAGCTCAATTGGCATAACATACTATACAAAACATTGTTCCACCTCCT